AAAATAGAATTCCTCTGGGGAGCAGGTCCAGGGGTTTTATCCGATTTTCAGAAGGGGGAGAAGTTAGAAATCGTTGCTCCAGCTGCACAGATGTCCTGAACACCAACTACTTCCCATCGCCCCCAAGTCTCAGAGTTGGCTTCTTGCTGGAGGTTAGGGGTTCTGGGGTGCACAGCCGGAGAGAAACCGCCTTCTCCAAGCCAATAGAATTCCTCTGGGGAGCAGGTCCAGGGGTTTTATCCGATTTTCAGAAGGGGGAGAAGTTAGAAATCGTTGCTCCAGCTGCACAGATGTCCTGAACACCAACTACTTCCCATCGCCCCCAAGTCTCAGAGTTGGCTTCTTGCTGGAGGTTAGGGGTTCTGGGGTGCACAGCCGGAGAGAAACCGCCTTCTCCAAGCCTACCCTTCAGGGCCCACTCTCACTCGGACGCGCAGAATGTCCAACCCCCCTTACCATGGGTCCATCATGAAAGATAGAGACAGAGGTCACGATGGTCAGACCCAACCTCAGACTACAGATGTTCAGGCCTTGAAAACAGTTTTCTCCCATCACCCACCAACCCTGCCTGCAGGGCACTATGAATTACGGTTTTCTCAAAAAATGCATTAATTCAAGTCCATTACTCTGACTGCTGCAATTATATTAGGTTGTTTTTTGTGCTAACATTAGTTAAATATAACTCAAGGATTTAAAAAATCCGTGTGTAAGTGAACCAATGCAGTTCAAACCCGCCTTGTATTTTTGGATGTGAGATTGGGAATCCAAGTATTCAAAGGGCCAATACTTTATACCTGGATTTTCAACTGTGAGGTGGGGTAGGTTGGCACTCCTCACCCCAAGCTTGCTGGTCAAGAGTTAATGATGAAGATTTTTCAAGGGCCTTAGGGTTTGCAAAGTGAAAGCACAACTAGGCAATCTCCAGGGTGTTCCTAAGAAAAAAGAAACGCTGAGAGTTCTTAAAATGAAAAGTACGTTTTTGAGAAGAATGGGTCCTGCATGCTTAGCCTCTGGGTTGGTCTGCGATGGCAA